ACAAAAATTAGCCAGGCATGGTGGTGCATGCTTGTGGTCCCAGCTACTCAGGAGGCTGAGGTGGGAGGATCACTTGAGCCCGGGAGACAGAGGTTGCAGTGAGCTGTGATCATGCCACTGCACTCCAGCCTGGGTGACAGAGCCAGACCTTGTCTCGGAAAATAAGAAAATAAAAATAAGGTATAATAAAAGCAGAATGAAACAAAATAAAGAAGAAAATATTTATTTTCTGATTGGTGAGAAACTATTCCCAGGCTTTTTATGTGTTCAGTGTAACTTTTACTCTTATATTCTTTCAAATAGAAAAAAAGTAGAGAATCTAAAGTGAGTGTTAGGAAAGTCTAGTTGAGACATTCACTATGATTAGCAGAAATATTATGGAAAAAATTGTCATTTGCTAAAAAAAAAAAAAAAAAAGGACTGGCAGTCTTTTTTATGGGAGCTGATTCTTTTGCTTTTCTGTGCTTTCCAAGTTTTCTGCATTAAAGCACATATAATGTTTGCAATTAAAAACATAAAAACAGGCCAGGGGCAGTGGTTCACACCTGCAATCCCAGCATTTTGGGAGGCCAAAGTAGGAGGATCGCTAGAGCCCATGAGTTTGAGACTGGCCTGGGCAATACAGGGAGACCTCATCTCTATAAAAAAGAAAAAATAAGAAAAATTAGCCGGGTGTGGTGACGTGTACCTGAGGTCCCAGCTCCTTGGGAGGCTGAGGTGGGAGGATCATTTGAACCCAGGAGGTCAAAGCTGTGGTGAGCCATAATCATGTCAGTGCACACCAGTCTGGGCAATGGGGTAGGACCCTCCCTCAAACAACAATGAAAAAAACAGAAATGAAAAGAAAATCAAATGGTGACCAGAGAATGCCTTCAAAAGAGCTTTAAGGGTGGGGCGCAATGACTCACTCCTGTAATCCCAACACTCTGGGAGACTGAGGTGGGTGCATTGCTTGAGGCCAGGAGTTTGAGACCAGCCTGGTCAACACAGTGAAACCCTATTTCTACTAAAAACACAAAAATTAGCTGGGTGTAGTGGTGCACGCCTGTAGTCTCAGGTACTCAGGAGGCTGAGGCACAAGAATCACTTCAACTTGGGAGGCACAGGTTGCAGTGAACCGAGATTGCACCACTGCACCCCAGCCTGGGTGACAGCACCAGACCCTGTCTCAAACAAAACAACAAAAAAAGAGCCGTAATACCTGATAGGAAGCTCTAGAGGTGACACATAATCCTGAGAATTTAACTGTAATGAATACTTATTGTTACAATATTAATTATAATTATTAATTGTAACAAGTATTTATTCAGTTCCTCTATAATCTTGGCACTGTACTAGCTGCTGAGAATAAAATATTAATAAGACAGTATCTTTATCCTTGAGGAGCATGAAATCACCGTGAGGTAAAAAAATAATAGTATTATAATCAAAGACTACATATAGAATTAGGACTGATATAAACCAGTGGTAAGAAATTGTGAGAAAAGTAGAAAATATTACATTGGTGTAAATTTCTTTGGGTGCTTCCTCTAAAAGAGTTAAATTTTAAAATTATTTTGCTATGATTATAAAATAACATCCATCATTCAATTTTTTCAAAATATCTAAAAGTACAATGAAGAACATTTTAAAAATTTATAATCCTGCTACCTAGAGATAACTATAATAATTTATTGGCCGGGTGTAATGGCTCACGCCTGTAATCCCAGCACTTTGGGAGGCCAAGGCAGGCAGATCACGAGGTCAGAAGGTCAAGACCATCTGGCTAACACGGTGAAACCCCGTCTCTACTAAAAATACAAAAAATTAGCTGGGCGTGGTGGCAGGTGCCTGCAGTCCCAGCTACTTGGGAGGGTGAGGCAGGAGAATGGCATGAATCTGGGAGGCGGAGCTTGCAGTGAGCCGAGATCGTACCACTGCACTCCAACTTGGGCGACGGAGCAAGACTCTGTCTTTAAAAAAAAAAAAAAAAAAAACTTATTATACTCTAGACCTTTTCCTATACACATACTTTTCTATTATTTCATTTTTTTTAAGATGGAGTCTCGTTCTGTCCCTAGGCTAGAGTGCAGTGGCGTGATCTCGGCTCACTGCAACCTCCGCCTCCTGGGTTCAAGCCATTCTGCCTCAGTCTCCTGAGTAGTTGAGACTACAGACATGTACCACCACACCCAGCTAATTTTTGTATTTTTAGTAGAGACGGGGTTTCACCATGTTAGCCAGGATGGTCTTGATCTCCTGACCTCGTGATCCACCTGCCTCTGGGGTGCTGTAATTACCGGCATGAGCCACTGCTCCCGGCCTATTTTATTTTTTTGAGACAGAGTCTCACTCTGTTGCCCAGGCTGGAGTGCAGTGCAGTAGCGCAAATTCATCGCACTGCAGCCTCCACCACTGGGCTCAATGATTGTCCCACCTCGGCCTCCCGGGTATCTCAGACCACAGGCATGTGCCACCATGGACTGTTGTGGGAAGTCAGGGACCCCGAATATAGGGACCAGCTGGAGCTGAGGCAGAAGAACATAAATTGTGAAGATTTCACGGATATTTATCAGTTCCCAAAATTAATACTTCTATAATTTTTTACACCTGTCTTTACTGCAATCGCTGAACATAAATTGTGAAGATTTCATGGACATACCTCAGTCCCCAAAATTAATACTTTTATAATTTCTTACACCTGTCTTTACTGCAGTCTCTGAACATAAATTGTGAAGATTTCATGGACATTTATCACTTCCCCAATCAATACTCTTATGATTTCTTATGCCTGTCTTTAATCTCTTAATCCAATCATCTTTGTAAACTGAGGATGTACATCACACCTCAGGCCACAGTGACAATTGCATTAACTGTATAAATTGTAAAACGTGTGTGTTTGAACAATATGAAATCAGTGCACCCTGAGAAAGAACAGAGTAACAGCGATTTTCAGGGAACAAGGAAAGATAACCATAAGATCTGACTGCCTACGGGGTCGGGCAGAATACAGCCATATTTTTCTTCTTGCAGAGAGCCTGTAAATGGATGAGTAGGAGAAATATCGCTGAATTCTTTTACCAGCAAGGAATATTAATAATTGAGACCCTGGGGAAGGAATGTATTCCTGGGGGTAGGTCTATAGATGACTGCTCTGGGAGTGTCTGTCTTATGCGATTGAGATAAGGAGTGAAATACGCCCTGCCTCCTGCAGTACCCTCAGACTTACTAGGATGGGGAAATTCCAGCCTGGTAAATTCTAGTCAGACCGGTTGTCTGCTCTCGAACCCTGTTTCTTGTTAAGATGTTTATCAAGACAATGTGTATACAACGGGACATAGGCCCTCATCAGTAATTCTAATTTTGCCTTGCCTTGTCACCTTTATTGCCCTTTGAAGCATGTGATCTTTGTGACTTACTCCCTGTTTGCACACCCCCTCCCCTTTAAAAATCCCTAATAAAAACTTGATGATTCTGTGGCTTGGGGTCGCCATCACGGTCCTACCAATATGTGATGACACCCCCAGAGGCCCAGCTGTAAAATTTCTCTCTTTGTACTCTTTCTCTTTATTTCTCAGACTGGCCGACACTTAGGGAAAATAGAACCTATGTTGAAATATTGGGGGATGGTTCCCCCAATAATGCCTGGTGCTATATATATACACACATATATATACACATATACATACACATATATACATATACACACATATATACATATACATATATACACACACATATATACACATATACATATATACACATACATACATACACATATATATATATACACATATATACATGTGTATATGTGTATATATATATACACACACACACACACATATTTTGTATTTTTTGCAGAAATGGGGTTTGGCCATGTTGCCCAGGCTGGTCTTGAACTCTTGGGCTCAAGCCATTTGCCCTCCTCAGCCTCCCAAAATGCTGGGATTACAGGCGTGTGCCACCGTGCCTGGCCTGCATACTCTTTTTTTTTTTTTTTTTTTTGGGATAGAGTCTCGTCCTGTTGCCCAAGCTGGAGTGCTGGAGTGTAATGGTGTGATCTTGGCTCACTGCAACCTTCACCTCCTGGGTTCAAGCAATTCTTGTGCCTCAGCCACCAAGTAGCTGGGATTATAGGCATGTGACACCACGCCTGGCTAATTTTCATCTTTAGTAGAGATGGGGTTCCACTATGTTGGCCAGGCTAGTCTTGAACTCCTGACCTCATGATCCGCTTGCCTCGGCCTCCCAAAGTGCTGGGATTACAGGCATGTGTCATCGTGCCTGGACACTTTTTTTTTTCTAATCAACTTTATCGTAGTATAAAGTTTATACGTGATGAAATGTACCCATTTAAAATGTACAGTTCAATGCATTTTTTCCCTCTTTTGCAGCTGTGACGAACTTTAACCAACTCAATACCCATAATTTGGAATTCTCATTTGGATTTGACCAAGTCAGGTAGAGTTGGTCAAATCTGACAGGACAAAGACTGGAACAAACAACAACAACAAAAACCCAAAACTATGATCACCGAGTGCTCTAATGGTCAGGAGAAATTAAGACCAGCTGGTTGTTAATCTTAACTTTAGCCAAGGCAAAACTCCAATTCAGCTACTTACCTAGGGATAGGTCTCAGGCTGAATACTGCTCTCTACTACCCTAGAAGCAGGAAAAAACTCAAATTCGCCTTCCCTGTTAGAAGTGAGCTCAAACTCTAGAAAGCAATTACCTGCCTCCCATCGTCATGAAGGCAGGAAAACTTGCTTTCCTTGTTGGAAGCAAGCAAACTCCAGAAAAAGGAGTTGTACAGCAAAATAAACTTTAGATCTCGACCAAATTTTGGGCGATCAGGGATTCTCTGGAGGGGGTGCTTCCAGGCCTCAGCAAATTGTCCTATTGGTTTGAGCCATAAAGGTAGCTCAAGCTGGCACCAAGCACCGATAGATTTGTCAAAGGTTAGCGCACCTCCACTTAGAATCCCTTCGTGGTCACCAAAATGTGAACCCTGAATATCTGAGACAGGTCCCAGTCAATCTGGAAAGTTTATTTTACCTAGGTTAAGGATGTGTACCTGTGACAGCCTCAGGAAGTCCTGATGACACGTGCCCCTAAAATGCACAGTTCAATGCATTTTTTTTTTTTTTTTGAGATGGAGTCTCACTCTGTCACACAGGCTGGAGTATAGTGGCATGATCTTGGCTCACTGCAACCTCCGCCTTCCGGGTTCAAGTGATTCTCCATCAGCCTCCCAAGTAGCTGGGACTACAGGCACGAGCCACCATGCCTGACTAATTTTTGTATTTTTAGTAGAGACGGGGTTTCACCATGTTGTAGCCAGGATGGTTTCGATCTCCTGACCTTGTGATCCGCCCGCCCTGGCCTCCCAAAGTGCTGGGATTACAGGCATGAGCCACCACGCCTGGCCAGTTCAATGCATTTTGACAAATGTTTATACACCAGCACCATCAAAATATCACCCCCAAAAGTTCCCTATCCCTCCTTCCAGTCACCTCCTGCCCCCTCACTCCTGGCCCTAGGAGAACAATGATCTGCTGTCCTCCATCTTTATAGAATAGTTAGCCTTTTACGGAATTTCACATGTGTGGAATCATATGCTATATATATATATATATATTTTTTTTCTTTTGAGACAGGGTCTCGCTCTGTTGCCCAGGCTGGAGTGTAGTGGTGTGATATTGGCTCACTGCAACCTCCGCCTCTTGGGCTCAAGTGATTCTCCCGCCTCAGCCCCCCAAGTAGCTGGGAGTATAGGCATGAGCCACCACTCCCAGCTAATATTTGTATTTTTTTGTAGAGACAGAATTTCACCATGTTGCCCAGGCTGGTCTCAAACTCCTGACCTCAAGTGATCTAACTACCTTGGCCTCCCGAAGTGCTGAGATGAGAGGCGTGAGCCCCAGTGTCTGGCCTATACATTCTTTATTTACAGCTTCTTTCACTAAGCATAATTTTAAAAAATTCATCCATGTAGTTATATGTAACAATAGTTTCCTTTTCGTTGAGTAGTATTGCATTGAATGAATATACTAACATTTGTTTATTCGTTAGATAGACATTTGTGATGTCTTCAGTTTTGGGCTATTAATAAAGCTGCTATGAACATATGTGTACAGGTCTTGCAGTGGACACACGTTTTTGTTGATCTTGGGTAAATACCTGTAAGTGCGATTTCTGGGTTACATGGTCAGTGTATGTTTAACTTCACAAGAAACTGGCAAGCTGTTCTCTGGAGTGGCCATACCATTTTACATTCTTACTAGGGGTGTGTGAGAGTTTTAGTTGCTCCCCATTCTTCTCTAAACTTGGTTTTGTGAGAATTTTTTTTTGAGAGACAGTCTCACTCTGTTGACAGGTTGGAGTGCGGTGGCACCATCCCAGCTCACTGCAATCTTCGCCTCCCAGGTTCAAACAATTCTCCTGCCTCAGCCTCCCCAGTAGTTGGGATTACAGGCATTTGCCACCACACCCAGCTAATTTTTGTATTTTTAGTAGAGACAGGATTTCACCATGTTGGTCAGGCTGGTCTCGAACTCCTGACCTCAAAGTGATCTGCCCGCCTTGGCCTTCCAAAGTGCTGGGATGACAGGCGTGAGCCACTGCACCCGGTCTTTTGTGAGAATTTTTAATTTAAGCCATTCTGATGGGTGGCTAGTGCTCTACCGTTTTCATTTACTGATGACTAATCACGTTGAACATCTTTTCAAGTGCTTCCTATACATTATTCACCTTTTTAAATAAAACTGGAAGGATGGTTTACAAGCTGATTTGTGCATACTGGAACAGAACGGAAGCAGCAAGAAAGTTATTAGTCTCTACTGACCCAGTGGCTGGTACATCTAGCCTGGGGGGAAAAATGTATTTTGCTAATAAATTTAGGCAAAATTTTGCTCTTTGCAGGTGGGCAACATTTACCAACAGATTGAGTGCCTGAGCCTTAAGACTCCACTTTATTTTTCTCTTTTTTCCTAACTCCAAGGAACCAGTAATCTTCATTCTTAATTAATTGCATCATCTACCTTCTGTAGCACCTCTCCTAATTCTGGGTGCTGCTGAACGAAGATGCTGAATCATTCGAACCTAACATATGTTAGGTTCAAGGACTTTATCATCGTCTAGTTATTTCTCTAATTCCTCAGGCACATCTCATACAGTAATTCTATCCTTTCTCCTTCCTTAAGATCTTGACTTTTTTTTTTCCTTCCCCCCGAGACAGGGTCTTGCTGTTGCCCAGGCTGGTGTGCAGTGGTGCAGATATACTCGCTGCAGCTTCAACCTCTGAGGCTCAAGTGATCCTCCCACTTCAGCCTCCTGAGTAGCTGGGATTATAGGTGCACACCGCCATGCCTGGCAAATTTTTTTTTTTTTTTTTTTTTGGTAGAGGCAGGGTCTTCCTATGTTGCTAAGGCTGTTCTCAAACTCCTGGCCTCAAGTGATCCTCCTGCCTTGGCTTCCCAAAATATTAGGATTACAGGTGTGAGCTGCTACGCCCTGTCCTTAAGCTCTTAAGTTTGAAGTTGTTTACTAAAGTTAGTCTTTAAGGATATTTTTTCATATTTACAAATACTTTTAATTTGTGGCACTTTCAGGCAATATTTCATGGTGTTATTTGCTGTTCACAATCATGACATTTAATGAAAATAAAATTAGAGAAAACAAAGCATCTGTTACTCTACTATCAAAAAAAACCCCATATTGTTAATCTCTCACACTTCTTTCCAGGGCTTATTCTTTGTAGATAGCTTTAAAACTGAAATCTAATAGTCGTTTGTTACTATTTGGGGCTCAAAGCTTTACTGTGATTTATTGTGGTGATCTTCCTTCTTCTCTCTTGGATCCACAAAGCAGCAGCAACAGCCAACAGGACATAAGTACTCACCAGGAGGGACTGATGCCAGAATTGTCATGCCAGAGTCGAAGGCTGTGCAGGTCCCCTAGAGAGGACCGAGTGGTGAGAAGGAAGACATCCAGGCCCCCTCGTTCAAACACTGCCTTCTGGGGGTCACAGAGATGATGGGGTTCACTCCGTCCCTCTGAACCATAGAGGGTGATGACAACCTACCATGAGACAGGGAAAGATAAAATAGAGGGAATTTTAACACGATTCTTTGGGTTTATCCCTAAGGAGAGAGAAGAAGACATAGAAAACTGTATTTAGACAAAGTCTTTCGGATCTTAGACAAGCATAGAGAATTCTTCATACACACAGTATTTTTTTTTTTTTTTCTGACACGAAGTCTTGCTCTGTCACCCAGGCTGGAGTACAGTGGCGTGATCTTGGCTCACTGCAACCTCCGCCTCCTGAGTTGAAGCAATTCTTGTGCCTCAGCCTCCTGCGTAGCTGTGATTACGGGCATGGGCCATCACGCTCAGCTAATTTCTGTATTTTTAGTAGAGAAGGGGTTTCACCTTGTTGGCCAGGCTGGTCTCAAACTCCTGACCTTAGGTGACCTCCCCATCTTGGCCTCCCAAAGTGTTGGGATTACAGGTGTGAGCCCCCATGCATGGCCCGCATGTACAGTTTAGAACTAGAAAATACCAATCTCTGATCGTGTTTAAAGTGCTATTGGTTGCCAGGATATCACCAGCTCAGAGTGTGTCTCATGTGGCAGAAGACACAAAGCAAGAACAAGTGAAGAACATTTATTTCATTAACCTTAGCTGTTGTAGCAGCCCTTCTTCGATATCCGGTGTAGACCTGAATAAGGTAGTGAAATTGAGCGCTGGGGTCATTATCAGCCAGGACAGTAACCTTCACCTGCAAGAAAAGCAGAACCAAGCAACTTACTAGGCCTCCACGTAGTACAGCTCCTGCCTCCTCCAACTGAGGAGCAGGAGGACGCACTCTGGCAGGTGTGGCAGCCCTACAGAAAGCAGGGCTGAGGTGTGGGCAGCAGACAGACACATGAGCAGACCTAAGCCACTAAAGTGGGGATGAGGCCTGAACCTCCAGGGCCTGTATCTCTCAAGTGAAATAGTCATAGAATCACCCAATCAGGTCTTAAGCCTCTAAATCCTTGCACCTCTCTCCCACTTAGGTACCAGATAACAGAGAATACCCGGCTAAATTTGCATTTCAGATAAACTATGAATAATTTGGGGCATGCTTACACTAAAGATGCACTATTTATTTAAAATGCAAATTTAACTAGGTAGCCTGTATTTTTGTTTACTAACGCGGACAACCCTACACCCAGGGCAACAAGAAATGAACACTTACCGTATTCTAGAATTTCCAAGTGCAAGAAAACATAGGAAGAACAAACACATGGAAAGAAGAGGCTGTCAAAAGATTTTTGTTTTAAAAAACATACCATATAAGTTTCTTGTATATAGTTACATTTTTATTTTTATTTTTTGAGATGGAGTCTTGCTATGTTGCCCAGGCTGGAGTGCAATGTTGTATTCTTGGCTCACTGCAACCTCCGCCTCCCAGGTTCAAGTGATCCTCCCACCTCAGCCTCCTGAGTGGCTGGGACTACAGACATGCGCCACCATGGCCGGTTAATTTTTGGATTTTTAGTAGAGACGGGGTTTCACCATGTTGATCAGGCTGGTCTTGAACTCTTGACCTCAAGTGATACACCCACCTCGGCCTCCCAAAGTGCTGGGATTACAGG